AGTTTAGAAAACACTTGATCTTTGAGTTGACCTGATTTGGGCCCCAAGCTTCTTCCTGAGATGTATGTAGAAATATTTTCTAAAATAGCCACAAAGCTGGCATTTAACGCTCTCATGTATTTCAGACAACACCCGCGAACGCTAAGAATTCTCTGTATCACGGGGTCCAGAATAATGCTTGCCCCCAGTTACGGGTCACTGCAGACCACCAAATGACCTGGCTTGTCTTAGGCGCACCAGCTTCAGAGTGACTAGGTTCAGCACTCAGATCTCCCACTTCTTAGTCAGTGTGACTTTGGGAAATGTATTTAGCCTCTCAGACAAAATTTCCTTACCATAAAAAAGGGATGTTAACAGTTGCATTTCATGGACATAAGGATTAACTGAGATAATACAAGCACACATCCTAGTACAGGGTAAAACTCAGTAACTCCCAGCTATTATTCGTACTGTTTTAGAGTGTAAATAAAAGCTACTTTCTTCCTCAAAATCTGTGGCTTTGCCCTATTCTTGGTACAAAACCTACAGCTCTCCTTAGCCAACCTGGTCAAAATCTGGCCCTCCCTGACCTCCTCTCTCCAACACCCTCCTACTCACTCGCTCCCTCAGCCTCACAGACCCTCTGTCACTTCTGCCGACACAAGCTCCTTCCCTCCTCTGCACGTTGTTCCTGAAGACACAGTGTCAGACGCATCCTTGCTTTGCCATGTTGCTGCTTTTGCGGCTGCTACTGCTGTATGTGCGTGTGTGCATGCGTGCATGTATTTTAAATCACAAAAGTCCCGGCTGAAGAACTCGTAAGGTTCTCCCACAGTTCCTTCCGTTCGCTTGGCTAATGTCCAAACAGCCAGCTCATTCAGCAAAATCTGCGCATTGCTGCGCCCAGCGAAGGCTCCTGATTGGTCGGCCAGACAACCAATCAGCTTCCAGGGAGAAGGTTCCCTTTCACACCGCGATTGGCCGAGAGACCTCAGACTTGGCCCCCCACCATTGCGGCCACCGCACTGCCCCTACCACCCCAGGGGGCCTAGAAAGAGAGAAAAGGGGATGCCTGGGGCGCACAGGTGGGCTGCGGAGCCAGCAGGACAAGACACAAAATCAGAGACATAGGGCGGAGGCCCGGTGGAGGAAAAATCAAATGAGGTCAGGAGGCCTGTGTGCCAGGGCCACCAGCGAGCCATGGTACTGAATGGGGTCATGAACTGAATGGGGTCCTCCAAATTCATATGTCGAAGTCCCAATGCCCCATACCTCAGAATGTGACCCTACTCAGAGACAGAGCCTTTAAAAAGATAATTAAGGTTAAATGAGGACATCAGGGTGGGCCCTTAATCCAGTCACACTGGATTTTACAAGGATTCCCCTTATAAAAAGGGGAAATTTGGACACAGACACAGAGGGGACAGTACATTAAGACGTGGGGAGAAGACAGCCATCTATAAGCCAAGGAGAGGGGCCTGGAAGAAAGCTACCCTCTGACACCCGGATCTCGGACTTCTAGTCTCCAGAACTGAGAAACAACACATTTCTGTGGTGCAAGCCACCCAGCCCATGGTATTCTGTTGTGGCAGCCCTGGCGAACTGATACACCCAGTGCATCTTAACGTTTCCAGGGCCTCAATCTCCACAGCTGCAAAATGGGACACCTGGCCTGCCCCTCCCACAGGTGTGCTGCAGGGATCGACTGAGGCTCGAGGTGGGGGAGCTTTGTCAACCATACAGAATTCCATGAATGACTTCGGGAGGTCTAATTTCACTCTCAGGGCCCTGGTCCTGGCGTCCCAGGCAGTAAAGCAGATAAAGTCAGAAGCCCCTGGGGACTGTGGGGTCGCAGTTAGAGAGGTAGGAGCTGGACCAGTGCCTTGGCAATCCCCTGCTCCAAACCTCCAGGGAAGAGACTGGAGCTGCCCTCCTCCACAGTTATTTAGTGGATGTGGGAGAAACAGAACTTGCGTGGGAGAAGGGAAAGAGAACAGAACAGAAACCAGAGATTTCTAAGAAATGAAAAGAAAAAAAAAGCCATATTTATGTCCCTGGGAATTTTCTGGATAAAAGCAATACATTTTATTTGTACGGTACTCTGCAGGTCACAAAATAATTGATAGCAGTAAAGATTTTTCTTTAACCTATCTGAGGTCAAGAATCCCTCTGACAATCTGATGAAAGCTATGCACCCTTTCCTCAGAAAAAAATTAACCCATGCACTCAACATCTAAAACATTATACACCAGCATGGTCCTATCCTGCAATGATGAAAAAGTTCTGTATCTATACTGTCCAATATGGCAGCCACTAGCCACAAGTGGCTATGGAGCCTTTGAAATGTGGCTAGTGGGACTGAAGAAATGAATTTTTAATTATTTTATTTTATTAATTTTAATTTAAATATCCATCTATAGCTAGTGGCTTCTATATTGGACAAGGTAATTATACAATATTCCAGAGGACTTACAAACACCCTGAAGTTCCACTGACCCTTGCCAATGGACCAAGTTAGGAACCACTTGTAATGATTATACTGTCTTCACAATAATTATCTTTTTTGAGCTTACCAGAACCTGTATCATCTAATTTAATCCTACCAACAACCCAAAGAAAGAGGTAGAACTGTTATCTGCATCTTACAGGTATAGATATTGAGGCCCCGAGAGGCCCCCCAGCTTGCCCAAAGTCTCATGTCAAGGCCACAGTGAAGGATTTGGGACTAAAACCCAAGAGCCTGATGTGAGAACTCAAGCTCTTTCCCCCAAAACCTGGTGATGATAGGGTTTTATGAATTGAGGCCCAAGCTCCCACCTGAGGCCTCGATGGAAATTATTTCTAGTCACCCAAAGAACTTTAAATTATGTGGTATCTATCTTCAAAGTTATAAGCAAGGGTCCTTCTCTACGCCAAGAAATCCCAAACACAGCACACTGGTCCACACTGTGGAGGTCATCCTTCACAGGTACCTTCAGGTTCCCATGGTAACCAGGCCACAGGGAGCAAAAACACTCAGAATTGTATAAAACTCACTCTCCTCCTGCATTGTGTATCCCCACTCATTTCTAACCTCTAGAAGTTCCTCTCATTTGCAGACATATTCAGATTTGTTTTCTTAACCTGGAATTCTACTTTCCCCAATTCTTCCTCAAAATAACTCCTTCAAGGCCCAGCCTATATGCCACAAAAACTTCTAAGCTCCAGGACTCTATGGTCCCAGAATATGTTGCTTGCATATCTACGTAACATTCTTCTGTCATGCCTTGTAGGGTGCCTTGAATAGGAGATCCATAGCCTGTTGTCTCTTTCAGTTTCTAACCACACTGAACATGGTGCTTAACACGATCACTCGGTAGACCAGTAGTTCCCACACTTGTTAAAACATGGACTGCCGGGCCCCACCCCCCCAGAAGCTGCTGATTCAGCAGGTCTTCAGTGAGGCCCTGGAATCTGCATTTCTAACATCCCAATTTATATGGATGTTACCGGTTCAGAGACTGCACTTTGAGAAACCCTGCAAGAGATGTTTGTGGAATGAATACATGATTGAGTAAATGAAAATTTCCCTTAAGCATCCTCTCCCCAAGGGCTCCAAAAATGAGCTTTAGAAAAATCAAGATAAAAAAAATTGTTACCAACATTTACTTCTAGATGAGGAGCAAAAATAGAAGGAACAGGGAGAAAAAAATGGCCCAAAACAGCAGGGAACCAGAAGAAGGAAAACTTAAGATAGATATCAGAAAAACTTTCAGGTTACCATCTGGTTTCCTCTTAGCCATTACTGTGTAAACGTATTATGATCAGACCATAATTAAAAATACTATGATGAGACCAAATTAAAAATAGGTTCAGTTTTCTGACTCAACCATTTATTTAAAAATATTCTGGAGAAACACTCTGACTCAGTAAGTCCAAGCCTAGAAAAATTTTCATAAGACAAAAAAATAATAATTATCAGAAATGAATATAAAAATGATTACAAGGAGGGTCACAAAAGCCCTGCTTATAATCACCAGAAATTTGAAACAACTTAAATGTTTAACAAAAGAAATTAGATCCAATAAATTATGGTACGTCCATAAATGGAATACACTATAAAGCCTTTTAAAATGTCCTTACAGGGAATATCTATTGACATAGGAAAAGGTAGAGGATATAAAACATGAAAAAAAATTAAGTCAAAAAACAGTATAAACAGTATGCTCTAACTTTGGATAAAAATCATATACAGATATAGAGAGATAAAAATATAAATATAGCTAGAGTGCTATTTATCAAATGGGGGGTTAGAACTGAAATTATTTTGAAATTTTAAATTGTGTATTTCAATCATTTCTGCAACAAATACATATTGCTTAATTTTTTTTTTACAGATTTAAAAAAAAAGAGAGAGATAGGCTATAGGAAGTTTATACTCGCCTTTTCTTCCCGGGAAGGAGTAACAAGTTGAAGCACGAGCATTTTTGTAACTTTCTCCTGGCCCCACTCTCCTACAAACACTGACTACAACTTGGATTCCATCGGTGAAGCATCTGCCCCACCAAGAGATCCCTCTTCTTTCTTGGTATTTCCGGGACCTGCTCAAAGATGATTCCCAACTCAAAGAGCCTCCACTTGGAATAACTCATGACTCCACCACTGGGGCATCTGCGTTGGAGAACGACATTGACAATGGATCCACCGTGACCCTGGTCACCCAGCAAACTGCCATTTTTTGGAAACCGTGGCTGTCTCCCCTACCGGCTTTTAATAAGGCGGGTTGCTTAGCAACCGCCACGAACTGGCAAGAAGGCAGAAGGCGGCACCAGCCAGAACTATTTTACGACCAAAGTGAGCTGTGCTACGTGTGTCTGGTTGCATTCAAGGTAACCAAATAAGAGATAACACCCAGCTATTTTTGCATCATGAGGAAAAATACTTGGCTCCTGACCAGAGGGGCAATTACCTAAAAATCTTGGCAGGCCCCATGGTATGAGAAATGGTAACTGATACGCGGGTGAAAAAAAAAAATCACTGACCTTCATAAATACTGATGATATGAGGGTGGTTGAGGGATGACATGATCTCAATCTCTCGTCTGATGTGAACCATGTCTTGTTCATCCTTAATTTTGTCCTTACGAATGGATTTTATAGCAACCTATAAAGTCAGGAAATGAAATGTTACCCAGAGAACTAAACAGATGCAAATCAGCCATTGGGGGAGTTTGGAAAATAAATACAGATGTTACTTGTTGGCAGAACCGACAATAACCAAAACAAAGCTTCGAAATACCCCCTGTCACGTCTTTCATTTATAGCAAAAACACCCTTCTCCCAACAACAGAAAACATCAGGTTCCAACAGCCTAGGGTTTGGGATGCTGGGTTGGTTTTTTTTGTTTATTGAGGGGTTTTTTTGTTTTTGTTTTTGTTTTCCATAAAGCAGAGGCTGCTTCATGTGGCCAGATCCATTTACTCCAGGAATCCTGATCCTTTGAAAAAAGGAAAAAGGAGAGCTCGGTTTACAGGGTCTGGATGATTAAACATGGATGGGTGAAATCAGTATCACTCAGCTCCACCGGGCAGCTGCTGCAGCAAAGACTAGAAAAAGCTTTACTGCATGGGGCTTCTCGAGGCCAGTTCTGCTCAAACGTACGGTTTCAAGACTCCAGCCTATGCTGTGTTTGTGCAATTGCTCAGCGGCCAAATCCTTCCTTCATCCTTCCTCTTGTCCAAGGACCTTTGATACACGTGACAAGACAAAAAGGCTCTGCTATAGAAAAATCAGGACAAAACAAAGGGAGTAACAGCCAGACTCCCTGCCCAGCCCCAGTAGATTCCCGTGCCAATGTCTACAAATGCAAACTGTAGAGAGCTGCAGGGCCAACGCACAGAGCAGTTCCTCAAAAGAAACACATAAATAAAAAAGCATTAAAAGACAATGGGAATCTAATAAGGAAAAACGTGTTTGCCAATGGACTCATCTTTGCTCATACACAAGTTGCTTCGTAATTTAATCCACCCTGGCTCTAAGGGAGGCAAAAAGTACTTTGGAGGGGGAAGGTGTCCATGGGTAACAAGGAAGCCCGCCAACCAATGTGCTGCCATCTCCAAAAGCCTGCTTAGTCCCCTCCAAAGTGGTCCTCCTGTGATGTCAGCTCTCACCTGGATCACCCTCTCCTAGATGAAAGGCACTTAGCCCATCCCTCTGGATCACAAAGGCATGAAGGGCTCCTTGTTCCCAGCAGGCCATCCCCACACCTGGATTAAGACAGGGTGAAGCCCTGTCAGCCTCAGCAGGAATGCACTCCCACCTGTGAGCGTTCGCATCTTCTGGCTTACACCAGGTCCCCACCAAGCACGATACATGGAAACATTTCTAAAATACAACTGGTCCATCTATAACTCAGTAAGAATTGGGCGGCTATTATTATTATTATCATTATCATTATTATTGTTTTGCTACTTGCTGACCTCCCAGCAAATGGGGGAAATGGACAGGCAGGTCCCCATTCTTCTCTTCAGAACCCTCCCCAGCTGTAATGAAATCAGTATTTGTGTCGTCACTTGGCTCTGTACTAGTAGGGATCTAATTCACTGCTTTATCTCCAGGGCTTAACTCCGTGTTGGCACGTGGCAGGCCCGAGAAAAGCCTTAGTGTGGGCAGGTGGGCAGGTGCTAGGTAGACAGAAAGGGAAGGAGCGGGGGGCAGGGCTGATGTCTGCCGTTAGGTTATGATTGCCCAGACCAGAGATGTGACAGTGGAAGCGGAGCAAAACAGGAAGGACACCCTCGTCAGACACCACCACCGAGACAGGCACACTGGGAAGCTGCTTAGTCTTTCTTTGGCATCCGATCTGCAAGGGGAACCGAGCAATGGACAAAGCAGACCGGCAACATGGGATGCTGGGCTGTAAACCCAGGGGCCGGCACCATGCTCCCTTAGACTGGAGGCAGACCCCGAGGCTGCATAAAAGGAGGCTGCCCAGAGATGAATGAGCATCCAGCTTCAAGGCCCCTTTTCACCAGGGTGCCAAGCTCAAAGCCACCCCAGGCCCTCCCGACGGCCCCATTCCGTATGCAGCAAGAAAAGTCGCCCTGTGCTTACGTCACATGTAAAGATATGACTGGAAGGCTTTATTTTGTCTGAGCTGGGACTGTGATCTTGAGAGCTTGTTCTGGGAGGAAGCAGACAGTGAACACACACAGGCCGTGGAGGATGTGGGTGGCTGTTGGACCAACTCCTGCATTCCTCCAGAACTAAAGATGGGCCAGGGGAGAAACCACCCCTTTGATTATGCAGCAGGCTGAACTTGGCCTCAAGGAGGCCCTATTGTCAAATGACAAGAGGCATAAATTCTTTCCCCTTCCAGGGTCAGGGGAGGGTGGTGACATTCTGGGGGGTAAGAAAGTAAGCCCAGTTGTCACTTCCCCCCAACAGTGGAGTACGTTTGCCAGGGGGATGCTTCCAGCCCAGTATGAAAAGGAAAGTGCTCACATTCTCATAAAACCCCGCTCGGCACTGAGGAAACTGAAGGGGCTCCATAAATGTTAATAACCACGGTGGTTGCCCCTCCACAAAAGCTTCCCTCTTCCTGCAATGAATTTTCTATTGAAAATGTAAAAGAGGGCTCATTCTGCCCCCTCTTTCAAAGGGTTGGAGGGAAGTCAGGCAGAGACAAATGCTAGAAATCACTTAGAACCATGCAACTGTCAAGGCCAGGGGGAGACTCTCAGTTCAACTCCCAAGAGCAGGGAGCTGCCTCACCCAAGGTTGCAGAGCCCGTTAATGGCAAACCACGGACACAGTAACCCCACAGTAATAACAGCAGCTGGGTGTGGAGCACTTCACATACGGTGCAGACCTGGTGCGAATTGCTCTTCACACCGCCCATCTTTACCTCCTCATTCAGGCGTCAGCTCCAGGATGCCCTAGGGCAGCCCTCCCTGACCCCTCTCGCCACACCTGCCCCCACTTTATCTTCTTTGGGACCTATCGCACCATCTGAAATTCTCTTGCTTGTTTGCTGTATATTCAGCCTGTGACCAAATCCAGCTTGTGGCCTGTTTCTGTAGGACCCAGAAAGCTAAGAATGGTTTTCATGTTTTTAAAGAGTCGTTTATAGAAGTCCAATGCGCTATCCATTGCGCTATGGAGCCACCATAGGGGAAGGGAGGGAAAAATGAAACAAGATGAAACCAGAGAGGGAGACAAACCATAAGAGACTCTTAATCTCAGGAAACAAACTGAGGGTTGCTGGAGTGGAGGGGGGTGGGAGGGATAGGGTGGCTGGATAATGGACATTGGGGAGGGTATGTGCTATGGTGAGTGCTGTGAATTGTGTAAGACTGTTGAATCACAGATCTGTACCCCTGAAACAAATAATACATTATATGTTAATAAAAAAATTCTTTTAAAAAGAGTCGTTTATAAAAGGAGACAGAGATCTATAAATGTAGCTCCTGTAACGTAAGGTAGTGCCTGCTTCCTGAAGTCCAGGGGATGAACTGGGCCAGCACGCAGGGAAGCAGGGTTGCCTAATGGTCAGGGGCATGGCTAAGTCCTGGCTGAAACCACTCACTAGCTGCTGTGTGACCTTGGGCAGGTTGCATAACCTTTCTACACTCCAGTTTCCTCATCCATCAAGGAGGTACCCTGTGAGGATTTAGGTGAACAGGGGAATAAGATATTCCCACTCGAATCAAAAGTCTGTCTCAAGATACCCACTTCAGCCTCTGGATTTGGACTGTTCATTCACTTCTTTCTTTGGAGCACCTTCCAGGTACCAAGCACAGCGCTGGCACAACCCAAAAGGGAACCAACAAGATTCTGTCCCAGCCCTCGAGGCTGGGGGGAGGGCGGGGAGTGGCAAAAATTGCACAAATAATTATGTAATTTTCCTCACGGCCAAAGGCTACCGAAGAGACACACAGAGGTGTGGGCATTCTGGGGAAAACCTCCTCTCCAGTTTTCCTCAGTCCTCACCCACATCGACAAAGAAAGACAGAGGTAAGGAAAGAAGGGCCCAGCAGGAGGAGATTACCAAATTACCAAATGTAATCATACACTCTCCAAAAAAAAAAAAAAAAAATCCAATTTGTTGCTATAGGAGCCAAAGAGATGTCACTCCGCCTGCAAAATGACGGGAACTCACACGCAGTACAGCCCCTTTCATAAATGTTCCCAAGTCTAGACAGCACCGTGTGCCTTATAAAACGGTCTGCCTTTGTATAAGGCCACCCTATGGTTTAATGTCTGAACCGTCTGCAGCAGCAGGTCTGGCCGGGGACCTGTGAATTCTGCCCTGCGGTGCCTGCCTCTTTAAGAGGCGCGCTCAGCCCAGCCAGCCCCCAGCCCTGGGGAACCTGTGCAGGCCCCACCCCCTCTTCCTTCCACACGCTTTTTCCTTTTTGAAATAATCACCACAAACCACCTGTTCTGCAGCCTGCTGGGCGTCCTTGGCCACAGTGGCTGCCGCCAATGTTAAGAGCTGGGTGGCCGGGCAGGTTCTGGGAGGCAGCAGGGTACTGCGAAAGCTCAGGCTTTTGCTGGCTAGCTGACCTCAGGTGAGGTCATCAGAGCATCGCAGATGTTTCCTCATCTGTAAAGGGGGGCTAGAAGCCCCCCTTCCTTGGGGCTGTTGTAAGGAGTGGGAATAATGCAAGGAAAGTACCTGGCACACAGTAGGTGTTTCCTGAATGGTGGTGACAATAGATGAGGCCTGGCAGTAACAGGGTCCTGGACCATGTTTTAGGGGTGATGAGCCCCAGCAAATCATCTTATAGGCCTCTCCCCTCCCCATTCCCCACACCCATCCTCCCCATCCCCACATTTGTACTGAGGCAAGAGCAGGTTAAAATTCATACCTAGCCTGCCTGCCCGCAGAGAGTAGGGCAGCCAGCTGTCCTCCTGGCCTGCTTTGGGGAGTGGGGCAAGTTCTGGACAGGTGGTATGTTTGCCAGCCTCTAACCAAGAGCATCACAGCCCCCTTCCCTCTGGAGCCACCTCCCATGGATGCTCACTCACTGCCATCTGTCAGCCTGCAGGGAGTGTCCTAGAACAGTGTCTCTCAAACAGGGGTCATGGACACCTTGTTAAAATGCAGATTCTGAGTCCAAAGGTCTAACAGGGGGCCTGGGGTTCTGTACTTCTAGCAAG